GCACTCCAGCCTGGGCAATAAGAGTGAAACTCCATCTCAAAAAAAAGAAATTCCTCATTATTTGTTTGGTTTTTTGTTTGTTTGTTTGTTTTTGAGCCAGAGTCTTACTCTGTCATCCAGGCTGGAGTGCAGTGGGGCAATCCGCCTCCCTGCAACCTCCGCCTCCCGGGTTCAAGCGATTCTCCTGCCTCAGCTTCCCAAGAAGCTGGGACTACAGGCGCACACCGCCACACCCGGTTAATTTTTTGTATTTTTAGTAGAGACAGGTTTTCACCATGTTGCCCAGGCTGGTGTCGAACTCCTGAGCTCGGGCAATCCACCTGCCGTGGCCTCCTAGGCATGAACCACCTTGCCTGGCCCAAAAATTCCTCATTATTTGAGCTTATATGTACTATAGGTTTTTAAGTCTTCAGGTTCTAGAAACAGTGGGTCGATTAAAATTCCTGAATAGGGGCCAGGCGCGGTGGCTCAAGCCTGTAATCCCAGCACTTTGGGAGGCCGAGACGGGCGGATCACGAGGTCAGGAGATCGAGACCATCCTGGCTAACACGGTGAAACCCCGTCTCTACTAAAAAATACAAAAAACTAGCCGGGCGAGGTGGCGGCACCTGTAGTCCCAGCTACTCGGGAGGCTGAGGCAGGAGAATGGCGTAACCCGGGAGGCGGAGCTTGCAGTGAGCTGAGATCCGGCCACTGCACTCCAGCCTGGGAGACAGAGCCAGACTCCGTCTCAAAAAAAAAAAATCCTGAATACAAAATACTAGAGACTCATTAGTCCAGAACTAATCAGTAAAGAACTCAGGACAGTGGAAAGATTGGTATGCTTTTAAAAAAAGATGACTTTTTTTTTTTTTTTTTTTTTTTTTTTTTTGAGACAGAGTCTCACTCTGCAGCCCTGACTGGAGTGCAGTGGCACCATCTCGGCTCACTGCAAGCTCCGCCTCCTGGGTTCACGCCATTCTCCTGTCTCAGCCTCCTGAGTAGCTGGGATTACAAGCACATGCCATCACGCCCAGCCAATTTTTTGTATTTTTAGTAGAGACCGGGTTTCACTGTGTTAGCCAGGATGGTCTCCATCTCCTGACCTCATGATCCGCCCGCCTCAGCCTCCCAAAGTGCTGGGATTACAGGCATGAGCCACTGCGCCCGGCCTCAAAAAGAGACATTTTAAGCTTTCATTATCATTTTATAAGTATGTCTAGCATTAAAGTGTCTTAACTCCTGGGCTCAAGGGATCCTCATGCCTCAGCTTCTGGAGTAGCTGGGACTACAGGTATGCGCCACCTTGCCAGGCTTATGTTTTATTTTGTTGTGGAGACGGGGTCTTGCCATCTTACCCAGGCTGGTCTCTAATTCCTGAGTTAAGCAGTCCACCTGCATTGGCCTCCCAAACTGCTGAGATTACAGGTGTGAGTCATGGCACCCAGCCAATGTTTAGTTCTTAAAGACAGCAAAAATATGCCCAAAGACTATTGACTTCCCCTTTTCTTGATTTGCCAATTCAGTAACATATTAGAACTGTAGAAACAAAGAGTCACAGAAATGGCTTCTATCTTCAAAATTGCCAACTTGACAAAAACACTAGCTGGGCATGGTGGCTCACACCTGTAATCCCAGCACTTTAGGAGGCCGAGTGAGCAGATCACTTGAGGCCAGGAGTTCAAGACCAGCCTAGGCAACATGGCAAAACCCTGTCTCTACAAAAAATATAAAAATTAACTGGGCGTGGTGGTGTGCGCCTATAGTCCCAGCTACTCGGGAGACTGAGGTGGGAGAATCGTTTAAGCCCAGGAGGCGGAGGCTGCAGTGAGCCATAATCACCCCACTGTACTCCAGCCTGAGCAACAGAGCCAGACCCTACCTCAAAAAAAGGAAAAGAAAAAAATACATTCTTTCTTGGCTAGTCATTACCACAGAGAGAGGAAAAAGTAAGTGGGCTTGCTGGGGAAGAAAGAAAAATTGTCAATATGTAGTTTTGTCTAAGGAGATTGGTTATTTCTGGTCCTTCTGAAGGTAAATGGACTAAAGGACTGCATTGAAAATCTTCCAGATCATGTATTTATTAGGTAGAAACTGATTATATCTACAATTTAATAGTAACAAACTTTTTTAAGTTTTATATAAAGATTACATGTGATAATTTTATGCGATAAGACTGTTTCTTTTTCTTTCCAATTAGAGTGTGAGAGTGTGTGTGTATACACAGACTAATTTAATCTTCCTAATAATCCTATCAAGTAGCTACGATTTTTCCCATTTTACAGATCAGGAAACTGAGATGAATATACATATAGTTTAATTGCCTAAACTGACCTAATAGATTCAAACAAAGGAGTCTTATTTCAGAGTCTGTCTGTAATGACTCCACAATATTGCCTCTCCTATTTGAGGAGGATTTCAGAATTTCCCATTCCTGGTAAACCCCACTATCTCACTTAATTCTAATTCACCAATCCTAATCCTCATTTCACTACACTAAGGATTTCAGAAATGTTAAAGTAGCTTTCAAAGCATTTTAAATTTTCACTGCTTCCCTTAAAAGGCGGCCACACCAGGTGCCGTGGCTCACGCCTGTAATCCTAACACTATGGGAGGCCAAGGCGGGTGGATTGCCTGAGCTCAGGAGTTCGAGACCAGCCGGGGCAACACGGTGAAACAGGAGAATTTTTGTGGCAGGAGAATTGCCAGAACCCAGGAGGTGGAGGTTGCAGTAAGCTGAGATCACGCCACTGCACTCCAGACTGGGTGACAGAGCGAGACTCCATCTCCAAAAAAAAAAAAAAAAAAAAAAAAAAAAAAAAAGCGTACAGTCGTCTTGGCTATTAAATCAGGCCAGGGCACAGTGGCTCACCTGTAATCCCACACTTTGGGAGGCTGAGGCAGGCCGGATAACGGAGTCAGGAGTCCGGGCGGGGTGGGTAGGTACCTATAATCCCAGCTACTCCAAGGTTGAGACAAGAGAATCGCCCCCGAACCCGTGAGGCGGAGATTGCAGTAAGCAAGATCCACCACTGCACTCCAGCCAGCCTGGGGTGACAGAGCGAGACTCTGCCTCAAAAAAAAAAATAAAATAAAATAAATTGACTGGTTTAGCTAATTCAGGTACAGCACATGTTTGTTGAGTTTTTTGTAGGGCTATAGGAAGAAATGGGAGCCTTTTCATTAACTACAACACTGATTTTACATTCTACTTTTCAAAAATACAGTTGTACATAGCATGGTTTAAGGTGGGGTCCCAGACACCTAGAATGAATAAGTTTCGAATATCCAAGTGCTGGGGCGGTGGCTCACGCGTGTAATCTGAGCACTTTGGGAGGCGAAGCAGGCGGATCACACAAAAGTCCAGGAGCAGACCAGCCTGGCCAACAGCCCAGAGAAACCGTCTCTACTAAAAATACAAAAAAATTACCTGGCATGGTGGCGCATGCCTGTAATCCCCACCCAGGAGGCTGAAGGCAGGAGAATGCTTGAACCCGGGATGGAGGTTGCAGTGAGCAGAGATCCCGCCTTTGCACCCCAGCCTGGGCAATAAGAGCGAGACTCTGTCTCAAAAACAAAACAGGTCAGGCACAGTGGCTCACGCCTATAATCCCAGCACTTTGGGAGGCAGGCGGATTACCTGAGGTCAGGAGTTCAAGACCAGCCTGGCCAACATGGTGAAACCCGTCACTACTAAAATACAAATTAGCTGGGCATGGTGGCAAACACACAATCACCTACGCAGGCGCTGAGGCGGGACAATTGCATAGGCCCAAGAGATGGGATTGCAGTGAGCTGAGATCGTGCCACTGCACTCCAGCCTGGCTGACAGAGCGGCTCTCAAAAAAAAAAAAAAGAATATCCAAGAAGTGCCCAAAATAGCAAGCAAAGGGGTGTATACGTGCCTGTTCTTTTTTTTTTTTCTGGAAAGGGAATCTACGCTTTATAATTTCAACATCAGCTAAACCAAATCGTGAACCTAAAAACAATCAAAGGGCCAGAATCTGTTTAAAGAATTTATTCAAGGGTGTGAGGATAGACCAACCCAAAAACCAACTCCAAAGAATGGAGGTCACAAGTAGGGAAGTTAGATTTCATTTATTTAGGCAGACAGAGAAGTTTTTAGCTGGATTACATTATCTATACAAGGTTGGAACATAATTACAGAATTTGGTTACAAGCAGTGTTTGGTTTGTTTTTGTTTTGTTTTTTTTTTTTTGAGGTAGGTACAGCTAACATTGTTTTACGGAGGATTTAACACTCATGAGTTGCTGTCTTATGGTGACATCGTTTGAGTCTCTCTAGTCATTGAACAGAACAAGAAAAATAAATCGAATTAAATTTATAATCTGAAGTTATATGTGACCCATCACATCTGTCCAGGATTTAAAATGGGTTTGTTTTGTTTTTTTTTTGGTGGGGGAGGCGTCAGCAGCAAATGTTAATTTTTTCATCATGTGTTCAAGATAATTGGTTAGCCTGAGTCACTTCCCTCCAGCCTGAATACAGGCTCTGTAGCATTCGCTATTTAATGTCTTATCTTCCCGAGCTATTTGAGAAATCGCTGAGTCGCCTTAATACCGCAGTCGCCACTTTTGCGGACTGGAGGGCAGAGTCTGCTTCGTTCTGAGAACTGCGTGGCTCCGCGCAGGAGCTCCTGCTGAGCCTGCGAGTCCTGTTCTAATTCTTACCCTTATTCAGTCCTTGTCACCACCCCCGCCAGGGAACGGCTGGACAGCCACTCGTCAAAGTGGCTGCCGGCGGCTCTTTGACCAGGTCGGATCCTAGTCCACCCTTCTGCTCCGAGCTTCCACCATTACTGCAGCAGGCGTGGGTCACGCTCTCGCTCGCTCTCTGCCGCCATCTTGGTTCCGCGTTCCCTGCACAGTAAGTACTTTTGTGCCGCGCTACTCTATCCGCAGCCATCTGCCTTCTTTCGAATGCATGCCCGGACTGAGTTAAGAGAGTTGGAGGCTTTGCAGGGCCACGGGGTTCCTACTCGCCCTGGGCTTCCTGACAAAATGGGGTCTGCGGTTGGTGGCATCTGGCAAAAAAGCAGAATAGAAAGGGCTATGAGCCGGCCCAGAATCGAGCCTGCAGATGGAAGCAGTTGCAGTGTTGAGGGGCAGAAAGTGCGTCTTCTTTGGGAACTGCTTTAAGGGGATCCAACGGGTCAGGGTCACAACCTTAGAACCTCCAACACCGTTCTCATTGTGACAAGCAAGTGTTGAACTTACAGCACCGTCTTTCCCCTCCTGGGTTCCCAAAGTCGACAAACGTAGTCCAGGAGGCCCCAGCCTAGCCAGTGTGAGTATTAGGAGTGGAAGGGTTCTGGTAGCGTCAGTCGCCTATGATCGAGGAGCCAGCCCTGGATCCTCTCCCTCCGGGTTGAATGCAGCTGGGAATTGCTGGCCTTGATAGAGGCGTGAGGTCACATATTTACCTCTTATTCCCAGGTGCACGGGAAGTTGTCCCCAGACACCCTCGGTTCTAACGGCCCTCCACGGAGTTTTTTAAGAATACTTGTCTCTGGGTTGGGCAAGTGGATATCCCAATCATTCAGGCCTCCTTTATATTCCCTTCCTTCAAATGCCCATCGAAGCCACAGAAACCAAATCCCTGCTACAGAGCAGGGTTGCCTGGCCCCAGGCTGAGACAGGTAGGTTCCCTAGCCCCTTGCCATTAATTAAAATTGACCCTAAGGCCATTTGGTATACATGTGGAAGGGTACACTGTGTAAGAGGATGGTGCAGCTTGCAAAGGAGGATAGACCGTAAAATTACTATCCTGGAGATACTTCTTTAGGAATTTGGAGTAAAAGTATATTTTTAAGATTCGTGGACGTTAAAAGTTCCCTAGCTTGCTTTCTGTTATGCCTGTTGCCTCTAAAAGAAGCTCTCTGTGGAGACCCCACCTTGCTTTAGGAAAACTGAGGCAGTAAGGGGCTCATTGATTCTTACCTATTAGACTAGATGACACAGGCCAGGAGCTGGAGCATTTGTGAAGCTCAGCCAACAAAAGTGCATCCAGGTTTTTTAGTTAGCAGAGCTTGGTATGCCTTTATCACATGTCTGGATGAGATGTGTGCTGGTGGTGTGTCCTGCACAGTTTGCAGGGAGTCCTCCTAGGTCGTATAACTTGTTTTATGGATTGGTGGTGCTAGAGATATTTCTAGTGTGCTGGAATAGTTCCTGCATCATTGTGTGAAACCAAGTTGAAATAAATCCTTCTTTTATCCTCAACGTTGAAAGTAGTGACTGTGAAGGCTAATTTTTAAATTCTGGTTAAAACATATCTCTGTAAAAAAAAAAAAAAAAAAACTTGAGGAGGTAGTGAAAAGTTCTTAAAATGATAGCCTTTCTGAGTCAGTTGTGCAGCGCTAAATGAAGGAACTCTTCAGGCTGTAATCTTCATTCTCAGCTTTTTATGATTTTTTTTTATTTCATTTGTTATTTAAGGACACGTCCTTTCCCTTTTTGGAGTTACAGTAGAGTTGCTTATGGTTGAAAGCAATAAGCACACCTGTTTGATTTTAGCTGAAGGGATTAATACAGCTGCTAGGAAGAATGGGGAGTTCTGAGCTGGAGTATAAACAATATGAAATTCTTCAGTACCAGGGCTTAAGGAAAGGGAAAAAATAAAGTACTCTTCTCTAAGATTCTGTATTTCAGTGCAAAGGCAAGGATTTTAGAGATTGTGTCATTGAACAGCTTAATTTACAAATATAAAGACTTGAAATTCAGATGAATTTAGAAAAATCTGATTTAAGCTTCAAAACTAATGCATTTACTTCTGAAACAGTCCTTAATGCTATTAAATGTATTCCTGAATAGTTTGAGTTGTATAGTAGGCTTATGTTAAGTACCAATTAAATACAGGATTTTGTCTGTAATGATAGTCTTTAGAATGAAGTAGGAAGCTCAAGGGTGGTTATGGTGTCAAAGCAGTATTTGGGGCCTTATTCCACGTGCAGGAGTACAGTCAGAATATATTCCATGTTTTGTGATTCGTTATGTTTGGTAGTGTTTTCCTGTAATCGTTAGACTTTGGCCTACCCACTCTACAGGAAAAACTGGTTGAACCACCTTGTCTTGCTTTTCCATGGTAGCATGCCATAAGAATCTATCAAATTACTGGTTCAGTGAATTTGAATTTGAATTTTGGTATACGGACTTTTCCCCCATTGCTGTGCCTTCTAAGCATTGAGCATTTGTTGATCAATTCTGTATTTACCTCTGAATGCCGGGAATACTGTCTTACTGTCATGCCAAATATTGGTGTATTTTGACATAATGAAATACTTAAATTCAAGTTAAGAAGTGGGAGATCGGGGCCGGGCGCGGTGGCTCAGCCTGTAATCCCAGCCTTTGGGAGGCCGAGACGGGCGGATCACGAGGTCAGGAGATCGAGACCATCCTGGCTAACACGGTGAAACCCCGTCTCTACTAAAAATACAAAACTAGCCGGGCGAGGTGGCGGGCGCCTGTAGTCCCAGCTACTCGGAGGCTGAGGCAGGAGAATGGCGTAAACCGGGAGGCGGAGCTTGCAGTGAGCTGAGATCCGGCCACTGCAGTCAGCCCGGGCTGCAGGCAAGACTCCGTCTCAAAAAAGTGGGGATCCAGTGTATTCTCGCCCTCCAATTCTCTTCTTTGTTTTTTTTTTTTTTTTGAGACGCGAGGTTTTCGGTGCCTAGGCTGGAGTGCAGTGGGTACGTCTCGGCTCACTGCAACCTCCGCCTCCTGGGTTCAAACAATTCTCCTGCCTCAGCCTCCTGAGTAGCTGGTATTACAGGTGCGTGCCACGATGCTCAATAATTTTGTATTTTGTATTCAGATTTTTTTCCTAGCCTAGTGGAAGCCTGAAAGTATAAGCCTGTTTTTTTCTTACTTCAGATTCCCATCATCATCACTGCTCACTATCTTCTTTGTTCCAGTTTTTGGTATTTTTTCCGTTAGTTCATGATATTTGGGTGGACAGAGTAGCATAGCTAGCTGTTCTTTATGTGTGATTCTGTTGGCTGTGAGGAGGACTTGGGAATACAGTCCATTTTAAGAAGTAAGGGGAGAGCACAACTGGGAAAGGGTAGAAAGCATGTTGTTCCCAACCTGCCAAGTGTCTGTGCTCCCCATTTAGAGATAGGCTACTCTTAGACTGTTCTCCTCACCTAAAATAGTTAGTTTTACTTTGATAGAACTTGGGAAGTGTGAGAAATTAGAAGGAATGTCTTCTCACTTGACGCTGAAGAAAATATTTGGGAAGGTTGTTGTTGCGTATCACCTTTTATCCCCACAATCCTGCGTAGTCACTTAGACTGTCAGATTTTAAACTTAAGTGTTTCCTAGGAGGCATGTTTGTACCAAGTGGAGGCTATAACTCACCTTTTTCTCCTCCCCCTTCTTTATCTCCTTTTGCCTTTCTCGGCTATGCTACCTATGCTCTTCAGCCTTAGTGTCCTGCTGCCTTAGGCCAGCCTGGACAAACCCTCCCCCTCCTTGCTCTCCTGCCCCACAACAGTGCCCTCTGTCAACTGCTAACCAGACTGCCCCATTCCCTTCCCCCTCTGCTATGCCTCGGCCCTTTTGATTCCTTTTACCCAGTCATCCTCTGGAACAGCCCTACCTTACAGGAACTGCCCTGAAGGCCCCAACCTTCCCTACCAAACCTAATAGGGCCTCCCATCTCCCCAGCTGCATGGCTCGCTCTCCATGTGATAGCTCCAACTCTGAAAGGGACGCCTTCCTCTTCAGCTCCCTTAGCTCTGGTTGCCCCTGAGGCTCCCCACTCAGTTCAGAAGAGTTCTGCTTTTCACCTAACCTTCCTTCTTCACCTCCTTCAGTGGCTGTAGCTGAGTCAGGGTCAGTGATATCACTGTCAGCTCCCATTGCTCCCTCAGAACCAAAGACTAATCTTATTAAAGTTCCTCTGAGTAGTCCCTAATCCAAAAGGCGCCCCCAGTCCTCCGTATAGTCAGTACCGTTCCTTACCACTGTGTGACTCCGTGGCCTCTGTTCAATCTGGAATGGCCTCCCTTCCTCAGACAACACCCACAACTACCCTAGCTATCACTTCCCCTCAAGTCAAAATGCCACCATTTCCTCAGCTCTGACTTCTCCACAAAACCCAGGAAGCCTCAGCCTAAAGGGGCCTGTTAGTCCATCTGCTGCCTTACCTCTTTCAACTCAGTCTCTTCCTGTGGTGACCACTTCTCAAAAGACTGTGGGTCCCAACACCCCCAGATTTCCCATTTATCTGGGCTCTCATCTGCACCTTTATATCAAAGTTCTTTTGGTTCTGTCAACCTTTAGGTCAAACAAGTCCCAGTGCTTTGAAAGGCAGACCCTACAGTGAAGACCATTTCTATAGATCCATTCTTCCACAGGGGACTCTTATCCTTCTCGAGATCTGTAATTCCTCCCCTTCCTTCCAGAAATGAGAGTGGTTCTGCTACTGTGGCTGCCACTTTCAGTGGTGGCTCCATTGTTGACAAAGTCCCTCTACCATCTTCTTTTAACCTACAGCCCTTCTGGCTCCTTAAATGTAACTACCTCCTCTTCATTATCTCCTCTGACCTCTCTCATTCTCAAAGCTCTCCTAAAGCCACTCATCATTATCCTTTAGTGTAGCCCAAATGCCTGTTCTTCTGTGAGACCACCCCTTGTGACCCCTATGCAATTGATGCAGCTACTACTTTGAGGTAGCTACTTGTATTTCTCTCCAATTTCATCAGGTCCATAAGTAATATAGAACCAACCCTGCTGCCTTGGTTATGGCACCTGTGGCTCCCAAAGAGCCTTCTACTCAAGTAGCAACCACTCTGAGGACACCAGTCTCTCCTCCTCTGCCAGACCCTGAAAACCTCAAAAATCTCTGATTCAGTATTGGTTAAATTCCAACACAAAGACCTCCAAACTGTACCTGCCTCTCGTGTAGGAGCTCAACTCTCCAGCCCAAGCAGAACTCACCACAAGAAAGACCCTACTGTGTTACCATTAGCCCAGACAGTTATTAAAAATTCCCCTTCTTTCCAAAAGTGCCTTCTACCTCTTCTCAGAGATATCTTTCTCCTGAAACCACCATAGCAAAGAAAAGCCTTGGAGGCCCTCTCCTATCGGTAAGCCAACCAGCACTGTGACCTCCCGCTGGGTGTTAGCTCCTCCTCGGCCTCTGTAATCAAGACAGATTCTTATGCAGACCCAGACTCTGCTGGTCACAAGCTTCTCAAAAGTTCTCTCATTACCCCAACAGTGACTGCATTTCCTTTGCAAAGTGCTGACCCTGCTGGGAGTGACTCCCCACAACTGCCAGTACCTCAACTTATATAGCTACAGCCAGCCCTTTTCTAGAAGGAACCGTCTCTTTAGCTCTGAAACACCCAGTTAAGGAAGGTACTTCCACTCTTACTACTTTATCCTTGGTTCCTACAGCTTCAGATTGCCCTGTGGCTCCATCCCCCCAGAATACCTCTGCTCCTCTGGCTACCTTAGTGCTGGCCCCTGAAATCCCAAAGTCTGTGCCTTCACCCTCTCTTCCCGCAGCTAGGACTCCTCCGGGTACAAAAAGGTTGATGGTATTTCTCATACTTCAACATTGGCACCTGTTGCTTCCTCTCCCAAGAGTGCCCAATTGAGGACTCTGGTGCTTCTGCTGTCTTCAAAGGAACTCCACAGCTTACCTAGCTGGCTCCCCATCTCCTTTAGGGGTTAGTGTGTCTCAGACTAAAAGACCTCCAACCAAGAAGGGTTCTGCTGGCCCTGATACTCCTGTTGGAAATCTCTCGTCCCCTGTTTCTCCAGTTGAAGCTTCATTTATCTCAGAGAATAGTCTTTCTTTCCAAGACTCTAAAGACTCACCTGCCACGAAACATTCTCACTCCATCACAAGGGCCTGCCCCCTCAGCTGTGACTCCTCTGTCTCCCAAAATGTACCTACCCCCAAAGGGAATATCACTCCTTCAGTTTGTGAATCACGCCCCTTCCCCAAAAGAAGGTCCAGCTACCCCAGCACCAACAGGCTCCCTCCTCCCACTCTGTCAGGACTTCTTCCTCCCTCAAAAAGGCCCCCACACCCTAGCTGCAACTCCTCCTTCCATGAGAGGCCCTACCAGCATCCCCCAAAGGGCCCCACACCCCAGCTGCAACTCCTCCCTCCCCCAAAGGAGGTCAGCTACCCCATCCCCAAAGGGCCCCACACACCCCAGCTGCAGCTCCTCCCTCCCAAAGGAGGCCCAGCTACCCCATCCCCCAAGGCCCCCTCCCCAGCTGCAGCCCTCCCTCCCCAAAGGTCAGCTACCCCACATCCCCAAAGGGGCCCCACACCCCTGCTGCACTCCTCCCTCCCCCAAGGAGGTCAGCTACCCATCCCCCAAAGGCCCCCACACCCCCAGCTGCAACTCCTCCCTCCCCCAAAGGAGGCCCAGCTACCCCATCCCCAAGGCCCCCTCCCCCAGCTGCAAACCCTCCCTCCCCAAAAGGAAGTCCAGCAGCTACCCCATCCCCCAAAGGGGCCCCACCCCTGCTGCAGCTCCTCCCTCCCCAAGGCCCAGCTACCCCATCACGAGGGCCCCCATCCCCAGCTGCAAGCCCTCCCTCCCAAAGAAAGTCAGCAGCTACCCCCATCCCCCAAAGGGCCCACACACACCCCTGCTGCAACTCCTCCCTCCCCCAAAGGAGGTCAGCTACCCCATCCCCCAAGGGGCCCCACCCTCCCCAGCTGCAACTCCTCCCTCCCCAAAGGAAGTCAGCAGCTACATCCCCAAAGGCCCCACCCCCTCTGCAACTCCTCCCTCCGCCAAAGGAGGTCCAGCTACCCCATCCCCAAAGGAGGCAGCTACCCCAGCCCCAAAGGAGGCCCAGCTACCCATCCCTAAGCGGGCCCCCACTCCCCCAGCTGCAACTCCGCCTTCCCAAAGGGGCCCCACACCCCCAGCTGCAACTCTTTGCCCAAAAGGAAGTCCTTCACCCCATCCTCCAAAGAGAGGCCCCACACCCCCAGCTGCAACTCCTCCCTCTCCAAAGGAGGCCCAGCTATCCCACCCCACAAAGGGGCTCCACTCCCCCAGCTGTGACTCCTCCCTCCCCAAAGGAGGTTCAGCTACCCCATCCCCAGAGGTGCCCCACTCCCCCAGCAGCAACTCCTCCCCTCCAAAAGGAAATCTGGCTGCCCCACCACAAAGAGGCCCCAGTCTTCAGTTGTAACTTCTCCTCTGCAAGGAGATCCAGCTACCTCACCCCCAAAGGGGCCCCCTCCCCCAGCTGCAACTCCTCCCTCCCCAAAGGGACCCCCACTCTCAACTACAACTCCCTCCTCTAAAGGAAGCCCAACTACCCCCATCCTCCAAGGGACCCCTCCCCATTTAACTCCACTCCCACAAAGGGAGTCAGCGGCATGACTCCTCCCTCCCCTAAAGGGACCAGCTATCCCATCTCCAAGAGGACCCACTTCCCCAGCAGTGATTCCTCTCCCCAAAGTCAACGCTCCAGTCACAGAAGGCCCATGATCCAGCGATACCACTCCCCTAGCAGTGACTCCTGTCTCCTCAAAAAAGGCTAGCAACTTTGGCCCCCAAAAGGGGCCCAGCTGCCCCATCCTCAAGGGATCCCACCCTCCCAGCAGTGACTCCTCCTTCCCTAAGGAGCCCCCAGTCTAAACAAGCTCCTTATTCCTCTCCCAAAGGCCCCAGCAGCTCCAGCCCATAGGGCCCTAGTCTGCCAGCTGTGATTCCTTCTACAAGGTCAGCTACCCCATCCTCAGAAGGTTACATTGCCCAAACAGCGACTCCTCTCTCACAAAAGACCCCAGCAACTCTAGCTCCCAAAGAAGCCCTCATTCCCCCAGCTACTTAGCTCTTCCCTCCCCAGAAAGAGCCAGCAATTTAGCTCCCCAAAGAAGCCCGGCTACCCCATCCTCCAAAGAGGCCTCCAGTCCCCCAGCAGTGACTCCTTCCTCTTACAAAGGGGCCCCATCTCCCAAAGGAGCCCCTCTCCTCCCGGCTGACTCCTCCATCCGCCAAAGGGCCCAGCTCCAGCCCCCAAAGGTTACTTCCCCACCTGCTTGACTCCTTCCTCCTCAAAGACTTCCCTGCCTCCCCAGTTTCTGTCACATATGAAATAGGGCCACTGTTCCTCAAGCATCTAAAGGGCTTCCAGCAAAGAAAGGCCCCACAACTCTCAAAGAAAGTACTTGTTACCCCAGCTCCAGAAAGTCGCCAGTCATCACAACTCCACTGGAAAGGTCACAGACCAAAAGAGTTCTGCTACTTCACCTCCTATGTGCCCAGATCCCTCAGCTAACAATGGTTCTAAGGACCCCTTTCACGGTGGCTCCAGCCCCTCCGCCTCAAGCAACAAGATAAGAGGCAGGGTATTACCTCATTCCCAAAGGCCTTGGCTCCTCCTGAGTCTAAGGCATCCACCCCTCTAGCAACCAGCTGCCTCTGAGAAGGTCCTTCCTAAACCTGAATCAGCATCTGTCTCTCCACCACCCACCCCACCAGTCTCTCTGCCTCTTGCTCCCTCCCCAGTTCCCACTCTGCCTCCTAAACAGCAATTTTTGCCGTCCTCTCCTGGGCTGGTGTTGGAATCACCCTCTAAACCCTAGCCCCGCCCCTGCTGGTGAGGATGAGCTGCCGCCTCTGATACCCCCGGAACCAATCTCTGGGGAGTGCAACTCCAGTCAGTCTCGTCAACATGCCCACCCCCAAAGCTGCTGGAATCCCTGTCCCAACCCCCTCTGCCAAGCAGCCTGTTATGAAGAACAACAAGGGTATTTGCCTTGGTTTGCCGTGTGCATGGTGTGTCTGTTGCCCACACCCCTCTTGGGGGCTACCCACCAATACTAACCCTGTGATGCGCCGCTTTCTCCAGTGAATCTGCTTGGGTTTGGACATAGAACATAGAATGATCATTTTAAATGCAAAAGCTCTAGGAATATGAAACAAAATCTTGGTTTTCATCACTTCAGATAGATACATAGCGTGTGTGTATCATTCAGTACAATGTGGCCCCGGACTACCCTGAGCCTACCATGCCATCTATTTTACCTAATTGATCTGACATTGAAAACCAAGACCTGCCAGACCTTTTAATTTGCTCTAATCTACCATCACTAACCTTGTCCCTGGGCCTGATTTGCTAAAACATTGGAGAATTGAACTATTTGTATTTCTTTTTCAATTCTTAGACTTAGTAATGACCAGGTGCCCAGGGACTTCCTTCTCATAAAGTATGAAAACCTGTTTTCCTAGCCTGAAAATGGTGCAGGTGTATGCTTTTTTTCCTCAGTAGTCTTTACTGATGCTTTAGCCTTTGAATTAGAAATAAATTTATGTGTGAATTATGTTTGGAAAAATTAAGAGATACAGGTCAACATCATTGAGAATCTTCTAACTATATTGATTAGATACATTGCTTGCTGGGGTGAATGGTTTGAAAATGAGGCTGAATATGTGCATGTGACTGCTTTTGACTTGCTCCAACCCAGTTTAAAGAAGTTGAGGAATGGCGGGCGCGGTGGCTCACCCCTGTAATCCCCAGCACTTTGGAAGGCCAAGGCGCGGATCACGAGGTCAGGAGATCACACCTGGAGACCATCCTGGCCAACACGGTGAAACCCTGTCTCTACCAAAAATACAAAAGGCCGGGCTTAGTGGCTCATGCCTGTAAATCCCAGCACTCTGGGAGGCAGTGGGTGGATCACAAGGTCATGAGATCCAAGACCATTCTGGCTAACATGGTAAAACCCCATCTCTACTAAAAAAAAAAATACAAAAATTAGCCGGGCATGGTGGGCGCCTGTAGTCCCAGCTACTGGAGAGGCTGAGGCAGGAGAATAGTAGACCCGGGAGGCAGAGCTTGCAGTGAGCCAAGATGGCGCCACTGCACTCCAGCCTGGGTGACAGAGTGAGACTCCGTCTCAAAAAAAAAAAAAAAAAAAAGTTGAGGAAATCCAACCTACCTATTGTGCCTCCATGGTGTGATTTTGTTTTTTCACTTAAGTGTATCTGGGGGCACCTTCTGACAGAACTTTACAGGGATAATTGGACTGTTGGGTAAAATTTAGAGTCAGTCATAGGGGTCATTATTTGCCTGTGCCAAGAAACAAAGACCTTGAGGAAAGCAGTTACAGTATGTTAAACTGCTCAGCTATTTCTAGTGATTACTTTTTTTTTTTTTTTTCGTTTCTGGGGTTGAGGCTCAGAGTCTTTACTAGATGTATACCCACTAGTTAGTGACTAAGTTAGGGCTATCAAGCTGGCCTCCACACAAGCCAGTTGGTTTACATTTAACATTCTTAGGTCTTACATGAAGCATTGACACTAGTCCGGGCAGGATGTAGTGAAGTACCTTCTTATAATTTCTACTATAAAGCAGTAAAAAGTTGTTTCTCATTTTAGAGGTCTGGAACAGAAGTCTGACAGTGAATCAGTACCAGAGCTTGAAGAACAGGATTCCGCAGGCAACCACACAACAAGCCCGGGTGGGTATTCTCTTACTAACTGGTATTGGAGTAAGGAAGCAAAAAAAAAAAAAAGGGTTGATCAGAGCGCCTTTGTATTTGGAGACTGTGAACCTTCATGAGGAAAACCCACAAGGGGGTGTGTCAGATCTTGGATTCTGGTTAACTAATACCTGTTTATCTTCTTGGCTGAAACAGCAGCTTCAATTGATGAAGAACCAGTCAGTAAACAAAACGGAAGTCGGTGCTGAAAGAAGGCACGGAAGGTAAGATTTGAAAGGATTTCAGGGATCTAATGAAGCACCTTTATACAGAAGTGGAACTCTATTTCCATAGGTTTTTTTTTTTGAGAGAACAGGTGGTATTTTGGTTACACGAGTAAGTACTTTAGTGTTGATTTTTGAGATTTTAGTGCACCCATCACCCAAGCAGTATACACTGAACCCAATTCTTAGTAGTGGTAGAATCCTGTTTAAAGTAGCAGAAGTAGCTGGATTGGTGGCTCACGCCCTTGTAATCCCAGCACTCTGGAAGGCCAGGGCGAGTGGATCACTTGAGGTCAAGAGTTCAAGACCAGCCTGGCCAACATGGCGAAACCCTGTCTACTAAAAATACCAAAAAAAAAAAAAATAGCAGGACGTGGTGAGTACGCTCCATAGTCAGCTACAAGGTGGTTGAGGCACGGCAGTTGCTTCGAACCTGGGAGGCGGAGGTTACATTGGGCCGAGATTGCCTCCTGTGCTCCCAGCCTGGGCGCCAGACAGAACCTGTCTCAAAATTAAAAAATAAAGTAGTGAAGTTACTGTGGCAGAAAACCCATTGTCTTTTTTTTTTTTTTTTTTTTTTTTTGCAACTGAATCTGCTCTATCGCAGGCTGGAGTGCAGTGGCGGATGTCAGCTTGCAGCTCTGCCTCCTGGGTTCACGCCATTCTCCTGCCTCAGCCTCCCGAGTAGCTAGGATTACAGGCGCCCGCCACCTCGCCCGGCTAATTTTTTTTTTTTTTTTTTTTTGAGACGATCTTGCTCTGTCGCCCAGGCTGGAGTGCAGTGGCCGGATCTCAGCTCACTGCAAGCTCCGCCTCCTGGGTTCACGCCATTCTCCTGCCTCAGCCTCCTGAGTAGCTGGGACTACAGGCGCCCGCCACGCCGCCCGGCTAGTTTTTTGTATTTTTTTAGTAGAGAGGGGTTTCACCGTGTTAGCCAGGATGGTCTCGATCTCCGACCTCGTGATCCGCCTGTCGGCCTCCCAAAGTGCTGGGATTACAGGCTTGAGCCGTGCCAGCCTTTTTTTTTTTTGCCTGAGCTAATTTTTTTGTATTTCCTTTTTTTTTAGTAGAGACGGGATTTACGTTTAGCCAGGTGGTCTCGATCTCCTGACCTCGTGATATGCCCGTCTCAGCCTCCCAAAGTGCTGGGATTACAGACTTGAGCCACTGCGCCCGGCCCCATTCTCTATTCTTGTATGAACTTTTTCTCAGCCTGAGGAAAAGCTTTGCTTTGGATGTTGTATTATGTTCCTTGCTTCTTTAGGCTGCTTCTAAGAGGTTACAAACCTTATACTATTTTCTCTTCTTTAGGCTATGTCCAAACAGGTCTTCGACAGGTTACAGGAGTTACTAGAGTCACTATCAGAAAATCTAGAATATCCTCTTTGTCATCACAAAACCAAGATGTCTACAAAGAGCCTGCTTCAGATACTTACATAGTTTTTGGGAAGCCAAGGTGAGTAAACTTTTCTTGGGCATTGTTCTAGACCAGGGTTTCTCAACCTCAGCACTGCTGACATTTTGCCTCTGGTAGTTCTCTGTTATGGAAGGGCTATCCTGTTCATTATGGATGCTTAGCAGCATTACACTCCCAGTTTGATTACCCAAAAACTCCATTGCATGTATCTCTGGAACATAACTACCCCCTAGTTGAGAACCACCGCTCTAAACCTAAAAACTACTCTTTCTACTGCGAGTAAGGGCAAGCAGTTTAAGCCGTAATAAGTTACCTAGAGTAGGTTTACAGAGAGAGTTGTGAAACTATATGATTTATTTTTCAAAGACTGCTGATCTACTCACATGAATCTGTATTCTCTACCCTGTGGGGTGAAATTTATCAGCAAGCTTCAACTAGCAGCTGCTGAAATTCAGAAGTTCAAGGTGAAGCTGTCTCAAACATTCAAGAAAACACACAGACTCCAACCGTACAAGAGGAGAGTGAAGAGGAAGTATATAGAAATCCTACATATGTTAACTGTCGCCATATAGCAATGTGTTCGTGTTGGTGAGCTATATTAAAAACTAGATTCAGGAGACTCCAAAGAACTGCTGAAATTGTTTTTGCCTTTAATTCCTGCTTTTTCCTCTCCTCTCTTGGAGTCGATGAAACGGGTGTAGAAGTTAAGGACATAGAATTGGTCATGTGCAAGCAGAGTAGCCAAAGAGCAAAGGCAGTCGAGCCCTGAAGAACAACAGTAATGATTGTAAATGCGATTGGAAAAAAGGTAGTGTTCAAGCCCTTTGTTCCTTGACTCCTCTGCCTGACCATACGAGTGACTTTATTTTGTCTGCTAAATATATCAGCCAATTAGAACCTCATTCCAGAGCCTCTTCTCAAGTTGCCGTAGGTTTTAGTGACCACAGATTCTCTGATTTGCCTATAGAACCGCTAATTATCTTTTCTCTTACAGGAATTAACAATGTAACCATCTGGCTTAACTTTTTGGTGTCTCAAAGGAGTAACTTTGCAGCTTGGTTTGAAATTTGTACTGTTTCTATCATAAATAAAGTTATGGCTTCTTGTTGGATAGACTCCAGTCAATGACTGGTCTCTTCCCGCCCCCAAAACAAACAAACAAAAAACTTGTAAAAGGCCCCCCCCCCCAAAACAAACAAACAAAAAACTTGTAAAGGTTCTAATAATTTGTTAATTACTCCTAAGGCCTCCCTCATTTGATAAGGTTTAGTGCCACAGATTTCCCGCTTAAAATCTCAGACTTTATACCTCTTTTAACAAGTCACTGGCCAGGCGCAGTGGCTCACACCTGTAATCCCAGCACTTTGGGAGACCAAGGAGGGGCGGATCATGAGGTCAGGAGATCGAGACCATCCTGGCTAATACAGTAAAACCCCGTCTCCACTAAAAATACAAAAAAATTACCTGGGTGTGGTGGCAGGCACCTGTAGTCCCAGCTACTCGGGAGGCTGAGGCAGGAGAATGGCGTGAACCCGGGAGGCAGAGCTTGCAGTGAGCCAAGATCACGCCACTGCACTCCAGCCTGGGTGACACAGCGAGACTATGTCTCAAAAAAAAAAAAAGTTACTATACTAGGCTGTTAGGACCTTCCTAACTAGGAAATACAACCTGACTATAAAGTTTCTCATTTCTGACCAGGCGGGATGGCTCACACCTGTAATCCCAACACTGGGAGGTCAAGGCAGGTGGATCACTTTAGCCCAGGAATTTGACACCAGCCTGGGAAACATGGCAAAACCCTGCATCTACAAAAAATAGAATCACTGAGTAATCACTGAGATCACCACTGCACTCTAGCCTGGGTGACAGAGTGAGACACTGTCTCAAAAAAAATTAGTTTCTCATTTCCACTTTCCCAGATGTTAACTGTTAGCAGATCCTGATTCTTCTGTATCTAGTAATCGGCCCCTTCACTGAACTCCAGTCTTTCTGAATGCACACTGGGGCTTCTGTGTCCTCTGAGGAGTTTACATTGTAACTCCTCGACATATAAGAGCTTGGTAGGGAGTTGAAGAGGAGGTAGGAGATACATGAAAAGGCTGCCTCCTGAAGGGGAAGATTTTGAGTATATTGTAAACTTTCTGCTCTTAAGCAAATTCTCTACAGACATTTTAATCTACAAAGTAGCTTCTGATTGGGATAGCCATAATTATATATTAGGACAATAAATGAAAACTAGGACTGTCCCAGGATAACTAAAACATAACAGTTAGTTTACAGATAGCTATGTAGGAATTCCAAGAAAAACTGATTTTGAGTTGTCAGAATGGTTTGAAAGAAATCAAAGGGCTACAATTTAGAAATGGGAAAGTTACAAGTAAATGTAGAGGCAAGAATCCTAAAATGAATATGTGAAAATACACCTAGAAGGAAGATGTTAAAATGGGAATAAATGTGGCTAACATCTAAAACTGGGCTTTAGAACTAAAGAAGTTAAGGCATTTTTATAGAATTCAGTCTTTTGGTCTCCTTAAAAAATGAGGCCAGCCGGGTGTGGTGGCTCACGCCTGTAATCCCACCACCTTGGGAGGCCGAGGCAGGCGGATCACAAGGTCAGGAGATCGAGACCATCCTGGCTAACACAGTGAAACCCCATCTCTACTAAAAATACAAAAAGAAAATTAGCTGGGCGTGGTGGTATGAGTCTATAGTCCCAGCTACTTGGGAGGCTGAGGCAGGAGAATGGCGTGAACCCGGGAGGCGGAGCTTGCAGTGAGCCAAGATCACGCCACTGCACTCCAGCCTGGGTGACAGAGCGAGGCTCCGTCAAAAAAAAAAAAAAAAAAAAAAAAAATTGGCCGGGCGCGGTGGCTCAAGCCTGTAATCCCAGCACTTTGGGAGGCCGAGACGGGCGGATCACGAGGTCAGAAGATCGAGACCATCCTGGCTAACACGGTGAAACCCCGTCTCTACTAAAACTACAAAAAAACTAGCCGGGCGAGGTGGCGGGCGCCTGTAGTCCCAGTTACTCGGGAGGCTGAGGCAGGAGAATGGCATGAACCCGGGAGGCGGAGCTTGCAGTGAGCTGAGATCCGGCCACTGCACTCCAGCCTGGGCGACAGAGCGAGACTCCGTCTCAAAAAAAAAAAAAAAAAAAAAAAAAATTAGCTGGGTGTGGTGGCACATGCCTGTAATCCCAGCTACCAGGGAGGCTGTGGCAGGAGAATCGCTTGAACCTGGGAGGCGGAGGTTGCCATGAGCCGATATCGCGCCATTGCACTCCAGCCTGGGCAACAAGAGCGAAAATGTGCCTTAAGAAAAAAAAGAAAAAAAATTTAAAAAAAAAAAAGTCACCTCAACCCATTAGGCTCTCAAAAAAAAGTGTTAGCAAGGATGTGAAGAAATGTGAAGAACTTGTGCACTGTTGGTGGGAATGTTAAATGGTGCAGCCACTATGGAATAGTATGGCAGATCCTCAAATAATTAAAAATAGAATTACCATATATGATCCCGCAATTCCACATCTGGTTTTAAACCCAAAAGAATTACAATCAGGGATTCAGTGTTACAACCATACTCATAGCAGCATTATTCACAATAGACAAAGGCAGCAGAAACCCAAGTGTCCATCAACAGATGAATGCTTAAATAAGATGTGGTATATAGCAACAGGAGAATATTATTTGGCTGGGCGCAGTGGCTCATCCCTGTAATCCCAGCATTTTGGGAAGCCAGGATCGCTTGGCCAGGGAGTATAAAGGATCATTTGAGCTCAGGACTTTTGAGACTAGCCTGGGCAAAATGGCGAATCCCAGCCCTTTGGGAGACCGAGGCGGGTGGATCACCTGAGGTCAGGAGTTCAAGACCAGCCTGGCCAACACGGTGAAACCCCGTCACCACTAAAAATACAAAAATGAGCCGGACATGGTTGTGGACGCCTATAATCCCACGACTTGGGAGGCTGAGGTAGGAGAATCACTTGAACCCAGGAGGCAGAGGTTGCAGTGCACCAAGATCATGCCATTGCACTCCAGCCTGGGCAACAAGACCAAAACTCTGTCTAAACACACACACAGACACACACACACACAAAATTAGCTGGGCATAGTGTCCCAGCTACTAGAGAGGTGGAGGTGGGAGGATCCCTTGATCCTGGGAGGCAGAAGTTGTAGTGAGCCATGATCACACCACTACACTCCACCCTGGGTGACAAAGTGAGATTCTGTGTCAAAAAATATATATAAGACTGGGCATGGTGGCTAACGCCTGTAATCCCAACATTTTGGCAGCCCGAGGCAGGCAGATCATCTGAGGTCAGGAGTTCAAGACCAACCTGGCCAACATGGTGAAATCCTGTCTCTATAAAAATAAAAAACAAAATTAGCCAGGTGGCTGAGGCATGAGAATCACTTCAACCTGGGAAGTGGAGGTTGCAGTAAGCTGACACGGCGCCACTGCACTCCAGCCTGGGTGACAGAGCCAGACTCTGTCTCAAAAAAAAACAAAATTAGCCAGGTGTGGTTGCCTATGCCCCTAACCCCAGCTACTTCGAAGGCTAAGGCAGGAGAGTCCTTTGATCCCAGGAGGCTGAGGTTGCAGTGAGCCAAGATCACGCCATTGCACTCCAGCCTGGACAACAAGAGCAAAACTCCAAAACTCCATCTCAAAAAAAAAAAAAAGTGTGTGTGTGTATATAAAATATTATTATATATATTAATATATATATTATTCAGCCTTAAAAAGGAAAGAAATTCTGTCACATGCTGAAACATAAATTGTTGACATTATGCCAAATGAAATGAGCCATCCACAAAAGGGCAAATAGTGTATGATTCCTTTTTTTTTTTTTTTTGAGATGGAGTCTCCCTCTGTCACTCAGGCTGGAGTGCAGTGGCGCAATCTCAGCTCACCATGCCTGGCCCCTGAATGTTTTCTTAAATGAATACTTACTAATCTTCCAGATATCACCTTTGGTCGGAACTCAAGATTTATAAATGGCCCTCACTATACCAATGCTTTCTAACTGAGCTCCTACCTACCCTGAACACGAGAGATTCTAATAGTTAGGCAGGAATATCATTGCCCCTATTCATCCTGAAGAAGTTACAGAAGGCTGGGCACAGTGGCTCACACCTGCAATCCCAGCACTTTGGAAAGCCGAGGTGGGCGGATCACCTGAGGTCAGGAGTTTGAGATCAGCCTGGCCAACACAGAGAATCCCCGTTTCTACTAAAAATATAAAAATGAGCCGGGTGTAGTGGCTCATGCCTGTAATCCCAGCTACTCAGGAGGCTGAGGCAGGAGAATCACTTGAACCCAGGAGGCGGAGGTTGGAGTGAGCCAAGAACATGCCACTGGACTCCAGCCTGGGCAACAGAGCAAGACTCTGCTTCAAAAATTAAAAAAATTTTAAGGCCGGGCGCGGTGGCTCAAGCCTGTAATCCCAGCACTTTGGGAGGCCGAGACGGGCGGATCACGAGGTCAGGAGATCGAGACCATCCTGGCTAACACGGTGAAACCCCGTCTCTACTAAAAAATACAAAAAAAAACTAGCCGGGCGTGGTGGCGGCGCCTGTAGTCCCAGCTACTCGGGAGGCTGAGGCAGGAGAATGGCGTAAACCCGGGAGGCGGAGCTTGCAGTGAGCTGAGATCCGGCCACTGCACTCCAGCCTGGGCGACAGAGCCAGACTCCGTCTCAAAAAAAAAAAAAAAAAAAAAAAAAAAAAAAAAAAAAATTTTAAAAAGGCCAGGCCCAGTGGCTCACGCCTGTAATTCCAGCACTTTGGGAGGCCAAGGTGGGTGGATCAC